CTACCCTTTTTCCTGGGTCTGCAGTGCTACCTTGGAAGTTCTCAGAAGAGGAAGTAAACTGGGGGACAGGGTGAGACGCAGGAAGGGCGTTGTATTCCAGCAGGACCATCCTTTTAAATGGGTCCATACCGCTCTGGGTCGGTCCCTTGTTTAGAGCGGCAGATAGAGACAGGCCTTGTCGGTAAGATGGGCTGTTGTGCTGTACCGGCACAGGGCTGCATGTAGCCAGAGGTCGTGTCGTTTATCCTCACTGCGGACCCCTGGGGCAGGTCCCAGAGTTGGCCCCATTTCGCCAGCAGGAGGGTGGCAGGCCAAGGGTGACTGTGAGCTCAGGCAGGCAGCACAGCAATGGGGAAGGTGGCAAGGGTAGGCGCAGGTCTTAGACAGCAGCAGGGCCCAACTTTCCTGCACACCCCAGGGCCTGAGCCTGCCGGACAGGGCGATGTGACTGAGCTGAGCACCTGCCGCAGGGCTGGCACAGCACGCTCAGTCTGCGGAGTGGGTGTACGGCACCAGAGCTCGCTACAGCTAAGGCCCGACTGGGGTCTCTCCGCACCCCTGGGTGTCGGCCCTCCCACCTGCACGTTTTTGCAGCCTCCTTGAGCACAGAGACAGCAGAAGCTGGAAAGGACAGCTGCCAACCACGCCCTGAAATTCCGTGCACCGCCCTCCTGAGGCAGCGCCGACGACCGCAGGGAGTCTGGCACCACAGAAACATAACCAAAACGCCTTTACTTGGAAACAGCGGCTCTAGAATACTGACATGTCCTGCCATGGCGGGGAGCGAGGGTCCCCTAGCTATTGCACAGTGTCCCTCTTACTGGCTTGCTCCTCTTTGGTGTGGGCTGTTCTCTGTCAAGGTGCGGGCCGCTGCTTCCTCACTTTGTCACATGGTGCAGGCAGGCAGAGGGTCCCAGGTGGCTTACTCAGTCTCTGAAACAGTAGACCCCCCTCTTGGCACCTGCTGTCCGCTGGCAAATGAGAGTTAGGGGCCTGCATCAACTCTGTGTCTTCGACATTGCCTCACGGGTCAGTGCCCAGGGTCAGGGCTGGTGCAGGGGGTCTTTGTCCTGAGAGGCGACGGATGCCTTAGCCTCCGTCGTGCCGGACCAGTCCTCGGCATGTCCTCAGCCTCGCTGCTCAAGGTGAGGTCATGGGCTGCACCTGGACCTTCCTGCCTCTCCGCTCGGGGCAGCAGCAGCGAGCGCAGCAGCAGCTGCAGGCGATCAGCAGCAGCAGCAGGACCGTGGCTGGAGGGCAGAGAGCGCTGGGACCTCAGAAGTGGGGGGAGAGGGGACGCCCCCACCCCACCCTGACCCTGTCTTGCACAAAGGCCCAGAGGGCGTCTCCACTTCCGTAGGGATTACCCTCCAGCCCTCCCTCCGGCTGGCACTACCACGGCCCCTTCTCTCCTGGATGCCATGGGGGGCAGAGGAGAATCGAGTGCCCACTGACCTGTGAACAGGAGGATGACCGAGAAGGCCACAATCTCCACGGGCTCGGCCTGGGGCAGCGCCTGCAGCTTGAGCAGCAGCCGCTCTCCCACAGAGCGCATCTCTTGCAAGAAGCTGGCCGCTGCCATGCTGTGCCGCCAGGCTCCTGCCGGAGAGAGCTCCTGAAGTCTCCACGGGCAGCCGCAGAGAATCCACCCTCTCCCTACCCACAGCCCGCAGAACGAGTTTGTCAGGTCTCACCCAGTGCACCCCTGGGGGCTCACAAGGGAGGAGGGAGCCCTCGCTCCCACCTGGATGACACTGCCAGGTGAGGGAAGCCTATGATGAGAGAGGCCGGGGGCTGCTTCCGGGGCTGAGCCCTGCAGGGGTCTGCCTGCTGCGGCCAAGGTTGGCGAAGCTTTTTGCCTGCTGGGCACCTTGGCCTGGCACAGCTCCCCTACTGGCCCCTGGGTCTTTCAGGACTTGGGTGCTTCTTGATCCCTTCAGGGTCAGGAGATGGGCCTCGGGATTCCAGCGTGGTGCCCGTCTTTCATCGTAGGCAGGGTGGGGGTGCTGAGCTGAATGCCCGGGTCCCACCTCTTCACTCTTACATTGTTCTCCCGTGAGGAATAAGAGGTGGCACTGTCCCTCCAGCCTTTGGCAGGACAGGATCAGGAGTCCCTGGCTAATTTAGCCAGCTCCACTCCTGCGCCAGGTGGGTGGGAGTCCAGCCCTCCAAGTCCCATGGCCGATGGCTCCCTGTGTAGGGCACTCCCTGTAGGGCACCTCCTGTCTAGGGCACCTCCTGTCTAGGGCTCCTCCTGGGCAGCGAGAGGCCGAGGTGAAGCTTCAGGTCGAGCCTGCGAGTTGGGGCCTATTATGCACAGAGCTCCTTTCCCCTTCCACACTCCTGTGTGCACAAGGGAGCCAGTGACTTTAAGGGAGCAGGGCAGCCTGTGCCAGCCCAGCTTGAACCAGTTCACCAAGGCAGTCGCTCTAGTCCACTGAGGGTGGAGGAAGAGGGCTAGGGGCCTGTGCCAGGCCTTGCTTCGATACGTGCCACCTGGTTCCTGGCCTCCAGTGGGCAGGCGGTGCCCTTGGCCATGGCACTCCCTGGGACGGCTGCCGTCTGGGAGCCGGTCACTCCCAGTGCTGCTGCTGGGCATGGCTGGTTTGGAACCACCTCGAAGGTCACCTGGCTGAGCCCTCTGCTCACTGCACCCCACTGTGGCCATGCGGCCTGTGCTCAAGCACGTCCAAGGGCAGGCAGCCCCCGCCTGCTCAGGCCTGTTGCAGGGGGGTGGACCCCCTGCTGCCGACCGCCAGTCAGTCCCACTGGCAGTCAGCTAGGCCCCCGATGCCCCCTCGCACCTCACAGACCTTCAGGAACTGGGTAGCAGTTGGTGTGCTCTTCCTAAATCTACCTACAGGGGCCACCTCTCATGACAGGGACAAGTTACTTCATCTCTCTGCCATGGAGAGCAGAGGCTACTGGGAGGCTGGCCGTCAGGCAGCGGGCGGGAACATC